GAGCCGAGCGGCAGCCGGGCTGGAGGACGAAACGGCGTCCGAGCCGCTCAGGACCACGCGGCCCAAAATTAGCCCTGATCCCCCGCTCCCTTCCCTGGCAAGGCACCCCTTCTCACGCGCAGCTCGTTTGCCGGAGATATTTTGAGACATGGCCTGGAGCATGAGAGGTCCCTTTCGGCCTGGTGGTACCCGGTGGTACCTGACGTGTGTAATTCCTCTGCAGCTGTAACTCCCAAGGGCAGTGCTGTTTTTCCTTCTCCCATCTCTTATTCCCAGCAGAGCTCAGCTGTGGTAGACCCAAGCGATACGACTGCAGCTCCCATTTTAAGCATGAAGAATTAAGGTTCTGTCAGGAAAAAAAGATGGGTTTGAGTGTTCCTCGCACAGGAGACAGGTCCTTGAGTTACGAATTACATCAGAGTTGTGCAGGTGGGTGAGGGAAAGGCTGGTGGCAGCAACGTGTTGTGTGAGCAAAATCATCCCGCTGCCCTGGAGCCCGTCCGAGGTGAGCAGTGTTTAACTGGCAGAAAAATGATGCAACTAAAATAAATCCTCGGGGAAAAAAAAAGCCAACTATACAGCATAGATTTCAAATTGTTTATTTCCACCATTCCTTTTGAAATACATTTCTATGCTTGTGTTCACTTTAGAAATGGTACATACATAAATATCCTGTTCTCAGAACAGAAATTACTGGGTTAGGCATTCTCACATACAAAATGCAGGACACGCTGAATGGTAACACAGAGTATTGTACAAAAAACCCTAAACATAAATCACAATGTGTGTAATTCACATCTGCCAGGTGACAGTTACAGTCTTTTGTCCAATGCAAAACAGTAGATTTATTTCAAATGCTGTGAAATTTGGCAAGGGTTATAACACTATTTAAAGCTCCTAAATTTCAAATAATACATGAAGTTTATTATATAAGTTCTACAGGTACTTACTATCTTTTTCATTCAAACTAATTTGTTGCCATAATTAGGTTAAATTCAACCTGTTTTTTTTTTCCAGCCTGCATCTAGCTTGAAGCTTGTTTCTATTTCAGACCCCGGGAAGGATCCGTGTGCCCTAAAGCTTGCCCATTTTCTAACTATGCTGGATGCTCTAATAAAAAAGCAGTACATTTCACTATAAACCTTAATTTGCCTACATCCTTAGCTCTTCACTACTACAACACTAATGCTACATTACATAGAACCGGTTACGAGGGTGAAAGGCAACGAGAGCTCTAACACACACCGTTACTATTGCTGTTAGGTACCAGAAAGGAGCCGGGAGCCGAAGCCGGGGCCGGGGCCGATTCTCGCCC